AGACTTAAGCCTAATGTCCCAGAAGTATAATCCCTTGAACTCTTGAAGTATATTGATGACTTTACTCTTTGGTTATACTTTCCTTTTGGGTGTTTAATACCATAAAGTTGGCCTGAATAAATCAATCTATGTTTATACTTCAGGTCATTGGAGGATCTGTTCCTCAGGGGTCACATGGGCTTGGGAGGTGCTCTTGGCTCCTTTCTTTTACCAGTTCCATCTACGTGAAGATAAGTCAAAGGTCCTGTTCGACCATGTCTGGCTTCACTTGGAAGCATGAATGAGATGTTTCCTCTAAGTTGACCCTCCTCTTTTTAGACTAGACACTGATTCAAGTCCATCTCATGGAGCCTCCATGTCCTCCCTAAACAAGAGGACAGGTGACTCACCACAGTTACAGGACATTTTGAGAGATGTTCCATAGTCCCCTGGCACTTGGTCGACCTTGGAGGGCAAGGGGCAAAAACTGTCCTTTAAGTCCCTCTGACCACATTAGTATAGTCCTTAAAGTATGGCTGTTAAACACCCAATAAGGTTAGTTCCACCAGTCTGGTACTTTTAATTATCATATGCTGTGTACATAAGGCTTGGGTAAAAAAAACCAAACATTCTCAGATAAACATTGACTAGATATATATTTGTTCCTTAAACTAGTTGACTAAACTATGACCATAGAAATTTTAAGATTATGTGTATTTTATTTTTGTCCCATGCTTTTTATATAACAAACCTAAACAGACCTTCATCACTTGCTTAGGCTTTCTCTTTTTTTCTATTTTGGAAAATATCTCCATTCCTGAATCCTTTTAACGTCTTTTATATTCTCATTTTCTTTTTTTTTTAAATAATTATGAGACACAATAGCATTAACAAATTTTCCATCAGTTGTGAAACTTCTTTTCTTGGGAAGGCTAAGCAACGCATCCCTTTCAAGCTTCTAGTGTCAAGCCAATGTCTCATTAAAGTTTTACTGAGGAACCAATGAATTTATTGAGCTTACTTACCAAGAAAACTGAGGTGTGGCCGAGGTGTATGTATGACCTGAGGTTTTGCACACTGGATAGCCTTTACCCAGCATGGGCCATGCCTTCTCTTCCTAGCCTTTCACAGACTGTATACTTTTGCCCTCCCCGTATCAGGAGGCTATGTGTTATTAGGGTCAAATTACATACAGTTAGCTGGGAAGAGTGGCTGGATACTCCAGTGAGGGTCTAGTGACCCTGCTTGGCCCTCCTTTAATGAATGAGCACAACCGTCATCAAGCCCAATTGTGACTATGTTTAGTGATCAGGCACAGCTGAAGTTGTGATGATGGTAGTTATTTCATGCAGAAGGGACTGCTGTATAGCATCTTCTTATTAAAAGGACCTGGAATTTAAAAGGATTTGGTGCTGGGATCCACATATGAGGATGTGTCGATTTTTTTTAAAAAAATGTCGATATTTTTATTTGTGGCCAGAAGCATTCAGAAAAAGGATTATTTCCCCAACTATGAATACTGATAAGCATTGCATTGAGTGGCTAATCTAATTGAGGATGTCTTTAAAAGGGCTCAGACAGTAATCATAGAATAATTTCAGTTTATACCTTCTCAGATGAAAGCCATCCTTACTAGATAGATGACCATTGAAGTTCCTCAAACTCCATGATTTAATTGTATCTAACATTTTAATTTGTCTCTAAGATTCCAATAGAGTGAAAATCCTAATGTTATATTCCTCATCTTTCCCAATTAGCTAAAAAGGAAATTTGATAGATTTGCTTACATCGAACTTCAAAATGACAGCCCAGTCAAAATGCTCTTATTATGCTGTTATTATTCTTTTAAAGAATTGTTCACTAAAAATTTAATCTAGTGAGAGAATGTTGATTGCTCCAACTGAAATTGTTGCTGATGTCACTGCCGGGCCTGAGATTTTAATGATGGGTATCGCCACAATTATATTGTAACAGATTTGCCTTTGTAAGGAACATTCCATTTAATTGACTGTAATTAGCCAATTAGTTGAAAAATATTACATTATGGATTGGTCCTAGATAGCAAGTAAATTTTTATTTCTAGCAGAATATAGAGATAGTCAAGCAGTACAGAGCCACATGATATAGGATATTTATGCTAAAATTTTATTAGGCTTCTCCAGCTCTAGGAAAATTAAATGCAAGCTGAAATGAAGTAAGCTTATATTTCCTAAGTCAGGTATTTTATTTTGATAAGCAATATTGTAGTGTGAAAAAGATGTACCATTCAACATCATGAACAGTAAAACTAGTAAATATGGAAATACCTAAACTACATTTGTTGAATTGGCAATCACAGGAGATCACACTAATTCTAAATATTTCATAGGGCAAGTTGATGAATATGAGGTGCAGTTGTCACAGTGAGTCACCTGTTTCTGTTTCTACACTTTGTTCACACCCAAAGAAACAAATGTTACAGCACTATTCTAAATCAATATCTCAGAGCCTTACTGGAAATGTCTAATAATTTATCTCTTCCTCTCTGGAGGTATTCATAAAATATTTTTAACTGATGTTTTGTTATGATGACTGATATTCTTAGGTAAAATTTTTGATCAGTTGTATTAGAAAATGGATCTTATGCCCACACCTGCTGAGGGACATCAGGAGGCTGAGACACACCAGTAAGTGCAGCATAGAAAGACAGAGCATACTGACAAAGTTCATGCTCCAACAAGTATCAGTCAAGGCAATGATAATAATCATTCTATACAGTTCATGTACAGCAGGAAGATTTTAATTGTGTAGTATTGGCCTTGCTAATTACTTAATACCTCTAGAGAAAATTGTTCATGTTATATTATTAGCTACAATTCCATTTAGCTGGGTACACAACCGTAATTTTAGGAAATTCTACAATTTGATATTTGTAAGCAGAAATTATAAATATGTCAGTGTCAACAATCAAGATATACAGAAACTGATTTACAACATTTAACACTTAGGTACGACCCTGAAAAATTTGTGTACGTTTATGTCCATCTTTAAGAGAGCAATTCCTGTTTCCATTTGTGACTGATTTCTTTTAGAATTGGATACTTATTTAAAACCTAATTTTCAAATAATCTATAATGAAACTTTTCAAGGAAATATGAAAGTGTTTTTATTTTGCTAAATCTTTCTTATAATGCGAGACCAAAAAAGTTAGAAAGTTGTCAGTAGTT